GATAGATAGATAGATAGATAGATAGATGATAGATAGAGGGCACAGGGTGAGTTGAAGATGAAGGGGTGATATCTGGAGAATAAAATTAAGGGGTGAGAGAGGATTATACTAGGAGAAGGAGAAAGGGAGAGGTAGAATGGGGTAAATGATCTCACATAAAACAGACAAGAAAAGTCTTTTACAGTGGAGGGGAAATGGGGGAGGGTGAGAAGGGATGAGTGAATCTTATTCTCATTGGATTTGGCTTAAGGAGAGAATAACATACACACTCAATTAGGTACAGAAATCTATCTTACCCTACAGGAAAATGGCGGGGGGAAGGAGGACAAGAGAGCAGGGGGCGATAGAGGGGAGGAAAGTTTGGGGGAGGGGGTAATCAGAAGTAAACACCTTTAAGGAGGGATAGGGTCAAAAGAGAGAATAGAATAAATGGGGGGTAGGATAGGATTAAGGGAAATATAATTAGTTTTTCACAACATGACTACTATGGAAGTGTTTTGAATGACTAAACATGTATAACATGTATCAAGTTGCTTGCCTTCTCAATGAAGGGGGTGGGGAGAGAGGAAGGGAGAAAATTTGAAACCCAAAGTTTTAAAAACAAATGTTTAAAAAATTGTTTTCACATGCAACTGGGAAATAAGATATACAGGAAATGGGATATAGAAATCTATCCTTCCCTACAGGAAAATTGAAGGGGAAGGGGATAAGAGAAGCGGGAGGATAGAAGAGAGGGCAGATTAGGGGAAGAGGTATTCAAAATTCATGCTATCTTGGAGTGGGAGGAGGGATGAGATGGGGAAAAAATTTGGAACTCAAAATCTTGTGGAAGTGAATGTTGAAAACTAAAAATAAATTAATTAATTAAAAAAAAACAATCTCTACTCATAAGGCATGCTAACAGGAGATACAACAAATATACATACAAATATACATGGCATAAAATAAAGTGAATAAATAGAAATATACAAAAATAGTTAAATAGAAAGGCATTTGGGAGTTGGGAGATCAGAACAGGCACCATGCAGAAAATGGGATACGAGGAAGGCACCCTGCCAGTTCACAAGAAGGAAGGATAGTTTCCAAGGGACTGATAAACTAATCCCTGGTCATACAAGGCATAGGTTAAAATGGGCATTAATGGCTCATAATGAGGTACCCTTCCCAGGTAACACAATTGCATTGATTAATTCAAAAAATATTTATTATTTATTGAATAAAAGAATGAATGATTATTATACACATATTACTTTGTATTAAAGTTATGTCTTTTTTGGCGTATTATCTACTAGACTATAAGCACTGTGAGGGCAGAAACTTTGTGTTTTTTCTATTTTTGGGTTATCCCTAGCTCTTAAAGCAGTCCTCTGCACATGAGGATTTAATTATTTCTTTTACTAGAATTTTTACAAGGGTCTTGAATGCCTTAAAAATCTTCATAAATTTCTCTATATTTAGCTAGACTGGTCTTTGGAAAGGAGACAACTTATTAGACAGTCTTCATAAATTTCTAGAAGAGAACCCCATCATCTGGTGGTTCCCCCTTCTGTTATGAAGCTTCTCCAAATGTAGCTAGGCCAGTTCTTGGATAACAAGCACAAAATCTATCATTAGGCTCACATGCAAAGTTGTCCCAGTTTGGTATGGTGTAGGGGAGGTTTTGTGAAATTCCTCAAATTGTAGTCCATAGATCTCTTGGGGTCACAAGACTCCTCTAGGGGGTTGGCATGGTCAAAATTATGTTCATAAAATTCTAAGATTATTAAAGACTATCTAAGACTATTGCCTATTAAAATACTCCTCTCTTTTCCAGCTACATATCTGTATAAGTCCAGATTTTCTTCATATACTTCAACCAAAATAACATATCACAACAGACTGAATGCAGAAGCAGATAGAGAATCCAACTGTCTTCTATTAAGCAAAAAAATATGTAACATTGCCACTTTTCTCTTGTTTTGGAAAAGTTTTTTTTCATTAAAATGTTATTTATGTTAATATGTATTGGATTTATTTTTGTTATTTTTAAATGAATTAAATATTTTAAAATTTTATCAGTTCTAACTTCAAATGTAGCAATATTGCTATAATGCACATAAACAAAAGGTATTTGGGGTCCTTAATAATTTTTAAGAGTGTAAAGTAGTCGTGAGATCAAGAAACTTAAGAGCTACTAATCTAGAATCTTCCACTCTAATACCTTGTCATGGTGAGTGACAGAGGTAGGGGAAGGAGAGGTGATGCTGGGTTTTTAAAGGACTGGCCAGTGGAACACTGTATTTGGCTGATTCCACCAAACTGGAAAAGTTTTGGGTGGAAGCCAAACAATAGATTATGTGTCTGTTAACCAAGAGCTGGACAAACTAAATGTGAAAAGACTCATCTCCAGAAGGCTCACCACAGGATGATGAAGTTGTTTTGGCCACATCAACTCATCAACATTGTCTACTAAAAATGCCTGCTTTCCAAGGGCCAGTCTAGCTCGATATGGAAAATCTCATCATCAGTAGTCTGGCTATTTGATGAGAAATACTATGGCCATGGCAACCTACATTTAAAACAAAGAAAAAATATAAGTGACCCCTTCTGTTTCTATAGCAATGGTGGCACTCTGGTAGAAAGAAAGGCAGAGGGCACTAAGAATCACAGAATTTTTAACCCCATCTGATAAATATTAGGGGGCAGCTAGGTGGCACAGTGGATAGAGTGCTGGATCTGGAGTCAGAGAGACTCATCTTCCTGAGCTCAACTCTGGACATAGACACTTACAAACTCTGTGATTCTGGGCAAGTCATTTAACCTTATTTGCCTCAGTTTCCTCATCTGTAAAATGAGCTGGAGAAGGATATGGCAAATACTCTAGTATCTCTGCCAAGAAAACCCTAAATAGGGTCATGCAGAGTCAGACATGACTGAACAACAATTAAATATTAACATGGGTGTTGGTCGTCTAAATATGAGATCTTCTTCCAGTGACCACAGCAATCTTGACATTCTCTCTACAAGTAAAATCAGAAGCAGAGAGATGTAAGTTCAGAAAATAAGCTAGTTATGTATCTTGAGGAAAGAGTAATGAATGGACAGCCCATGGGCTCCATTGGTGTCCATGTAATGCTAAAAGGTCTAGACATTCCAACTACAAACGAAATCAGAAGCAGAGCGATGTATAGCTAAAAATGAAGGTAGGCTGATCACATAGAGTGAAGGGTAGCCAATGGGCAGCCAGCGTGTTCCATGGGGTGCATGGGATATCTAGCATTCTAGATATTATAGGTAGCATAGCAGATAGAATGCTGGACTTGGGGTCAGGAAGGACTCAATTCAAGTCGAGCTTCACATATTTAATAGCTGTGTCATCCTGGACAAGTCAATGAACCATTGTCTGTTTCAGCTTTCTCATCTGTAAAATGGGGATAACAATAGCACTTACCAAAAAGTTGGACATAACTGAAAAACAACTAAAAACCTCACAGAGATATTTTAAGGATCATAGAACACTATATATATAAAACATTGCAAATTTTAAAGCACTATATAAATGTTAGCTATTATTATTATATTATTATTATTAAATGAAACCAGAAGCAGAATGATGTATGATTAGAAAAGATGGTGAGCTGATCATAATAGTGATGGATAACCAACAGACAGGTAACATACTCCATTTGGTAGCCATGCAATGTCAAGCAATCTAGAGAAAAGTGTCCAATGCATTGGATCAGCACATAACCCCTTGTAGAGGATTTATACAAGGACATACTTAAGAGTCCCAAGGGAGAAGGCTGTATAAATGCATTGTTTCCACCACACCAGGCAGAATACTCCACATACTCCATCATAGTGTCAAAGTTTATAAAAGGTTTTTTGATGCCAGATTGTCTTCTGCTTGCTAACCCACACATCTTGGGGCCCCTTGCAGTTGGTATGCACTCTGCAAGAATAGATTCATTTTAGTTCCAGAAACAGACATACTAAGGTCAATCTGTTCCATGTTTTAAGAACTATTTGTTGTTTTCAAAGGAAAACAGGCATTTTCTGCCTTTCGGTAGAATCACTCAACTCAAGAAGAATGGGTAATAATTTTTGTTTATGTGAACCATCTGTCTCAGTATCTCACCAAAGTCTTGGGTATGAACTCCCATCCAGCTGCTTGTGCGCTGATTTTCATTCTAGTGCCTTCCCTCTCTGTATTATTTCCCATTTGTCCTAGATAAAGCACATTTGTTCATCTGTGTTTGCTTCTTGTCTTCCCCATTAGCCTGTGAGCCCCTTGAGGAAGGGACTGTTTTTTGCCTTTTTTGTATACCCAGTACTTTACAGTGTCTGGCACACAATAGGTGCTTCATAAATGCTTAATAACTGACGGACTGACAAGGAAGTGTGAGTAGCAGGCCAGATGTGGTTGGTAGCGATTTGAGCCAGAGAAGAGGCCAAGTTGTCTCCCTAAGATGTAACAGTCAGTGCAGTGTGGTATAGAGAATAGTGTTAGACCTGGAGTCAGGAAGTCCTGGGTTCAAAACCTGCTTCTGACACTGACTGGCTGGGTGACCCTGGGCAAGTCACTAAAACTCTCCAGGATTCAGTTTCTGTAGTTGACTTCTAACATCCCTTAGAGTTCTAAATCTGTGGTTTATATTGCTGTTCAATCATTTTTCAATTGTGTCCAACTCTTTGCGACCCCATCTGTGACTTCTTGGCAAAGACACTGGAGTGGTTTGCCATTTCCTTCTCCAGCTCATTTTACAGATGAGGAAACTGAGGCAAATAAGGTTAAGTGACTTGCCCAAGGTCACACAGCTAGTAAGTGACTCAGGCCAGATTTGAACTCATGATGATGAATCTTTCTGATTTCAAGCCCAGTGTTGTTTCCTCTGAACCACCTTTAGGATGGAGAGCCAAATGACAGGGGAATTCCTCTTCTGGATCTTGAAGTTTTCCCTCCTTCAATGCCCATATTGTTGCATCACTCATCTGGTTGGGGAGGGAGGAGGGACGGATTGCCTTCCTGTCCAGGAAAGGCTTAAATGCTAAATGGAGAGCAGTTCTCTCCCTCTCTAGCAGAAGGATAGAGCTTGGGTGAGTGGGAAGGAAGGACTTGAAAGTGGACACATTCAAGTGGCTGCTATCACCTCATCCATTAAAACTCAGCTGCATCTCAAGATTTGAGAAAGAAGGATCAGAACATATCAAGATATCTGGTTCTCCAAGGAGGTAAGGGCACTCCTGATTCCTGACCTGAGATGGAGAACACTCTGATTCAGCCCATAGGACAAGGGGTGAGTGAACACTCAGATGGCTTCCTTTCCAGGTATTTTTATCCGTGGGCCAGGACCTTGATATATAGCAATGCCCAGACAATGTGGGATCATGGCTTCCCCAGAGCAGGCCAATGCCTCCCTTGTGATCACTCCCCAGGGCAGAGGTTTCAGGGTTTCAAACCATCTCTCTTGCTCCTGTTCTTTCTTCTCACAACAATAGAGTTCTCTCAAAGATTTTTGGGATAGAGGGATGGAGAGAAAGAAGGAGATAGAACCAGGCATTCAGTGGAAAGGGTGAAAGATTTTGAATCAGAGGTTCTGGGTTGAATTTCTCACTACCACTTAATTATTATCTCTGAGAGCTTGGACAAGTCATTAAACTGTTCTGGGGCCTCAGTTTTCTCATAAATAAAATAATTAGATGGTGGGATGGGCCAGATAACCTCTGACATCTCTTCTGACCTTAAATGTGTGATTCTAATACCCTGGATTTGAAGGATACAAGAAGGTATAGGTACAGCCTCAGGATAACATCATTTAGGAAGACTTTCTAAAATGGGGTTATGGTGGGGCAGCTAGGTGGCACAGTGGATAGAGCACCGGCCCTGGATTCAAGAGGACCTGAGTTCAAATCCGGCCTCAGACACATCACACTTACTAGATGTGTGACCCTGGGCAAGTCACTGAACCCCATTGCCTAACAAAAAAAATGGGGTTAGGGAAAGGACCTCAGTTTCTTCATCTATAAAATGGGGATAATAATACTTATACTATTTATCTCCCAGGACATCTGGAAAGTGCTTAGAATAGTGTCTTGCTCATATTTCAGTATTCCAAGGAGCCTATAACTGAAGTTGGCAACTAGAGCCTGGAGTCAGGAAGACCTGAGTTCAAATATAGCCTCAGACACTTAATAGCCATGTGACCCTAGGCTAGTCAATCACCTAACCCTATTTGCCTCAGTTGCCTCATCTATAAAATGAGCTGAAGGAGGAAATGACAAACCATTCCAGTATCTGCCAAGAAAACCCCAAATGGGGTCGTGAAGAGTCAGACATGACTGAAACAACTGAAAACAACAATAATTGAAGTTCTCCATGGATGCAGGCCTATTTATATCTTTTATAAATCTGCACCTACTTAGAAATATGATGTCTCTTCCATTAGAATGTAAACTCCCTGAGGGCAGGGACTCTTCACCTTTACTTTATAAGTGCAGAAGTGCTTAATGCAGTGCTTGGCACATAGTGAGGATGCAGCTGTTCTACTCTTTAGTGACTTATTTCAATGAATTGCTGTGGATAAAAAGTCATCATCCTGTGGTCAGCCTGAGGAAAGTGCTTTGTAGACCACAAAGCTCTAGAAATGTAAGTTATCTTCTCCTCCTCATCCTCCTCATCCTCCTCATCCTTCTTGTCCTCCTCATCCTCCTTGTCCTCCTCATCCTCCTCGTCCTTCTCATTCTTCTTCTCCTTCTCCTTCTCCTCCTCCTTCTCCTTCTTCTCCTTCTCCTTCTCCTTCTCCTTCTTCTCCTTCTCCTCTTCCTCCTCCTCCTCCTCCTCCTTCTTCTTCTCCTCTTCCTCCTCCTCCTCCTCCTCCTCCTTCTTCTCCTCTTCCTCCTCCTCCTCCTCCTTCTTCTTCTTCTCCTCCTCCTCCTCCTCCTCCTTCTTCTTCTTCTCCTTCTCCTTCTCCTCTTCCTCCTCCTCCTCCTCCTTCTTCTCCTTCTCCTTCTCCTCCTCCTCCTCCTCTTTCTCCTCCTCCTCCTCCTCCTCCTCCTTCTTTCTTCTTCTTCTCCTTCTTCTTCTTCTTCTTCTTCTTCTTCTTCTTCTTCTCCTCCTCCTCCTCCTCCTCCTCCTCCTCCTCCTTCTCCTCTTCCTCCTTCTCCTCTTCCTCCTTCTCCTCACAGATTGTATTCCTAAAGACACTATTTGAGCGAATGTGCCCAGAAAGACTAGAAGAGACCAATTCCTTGGCTGTACTGATGATTTCCTGTGCCCAGGCAGATCACTGAGGGACAGGGCTCTCACATTTCCAATGATACTTTATGTTCCAATGAAAAGCTTTCAGTCTTAAGTATATTCTTAACCTGGGTTCCCCTTTCACTGAGAGAAAAATTTTCCTGAAGGCCATTGCTATCCTATCTGTGCTGGCAGAAATGGGACCTGGAGATACTACTGTGCATAGTTTTATCCTCCTGGATAAAACTCCATTCAGACCTGATAATTTTCTACAGAGGCTTTTGATCTCATGGTGTATCATGCTTCCTCATTGCCCTGCCACGGTTTCTCATTGCTGTCATTAAACTGAGAGATTGCTATCAGTTTGGACTTTGGAGAGTAATAGGGCAACATAGTACAGACACTCTGGCCCCAGCATCTGCCAAGTCAGCCCTTATAGTTATAAAGAGATTAATTGGGGTAACTGAAGAGTTGAGGGTGTTGAAGGAGAGGATGGCCAAGGGATCTAGCCCCAGCCCTGGCCTTTGAGATCAGTACAATAAGCTGGTAGGAAATCTGCCGAGTCAGAACTCAAAGGTGAGAAGAGTGGGAAATAGGCTGGCCCCTAATGCTTCTCTTCTTGCACCTGAAGATCACTCAACCTGGCTTTGCCTATGCCTGGTGCAGTGGGGACTGAACTATAAGTACTTCATAGACTGAAGGGTACAGGGAACTTTGAATGAACTCAGTGACTTTACTGTACTTGGCCTCCCTCAGGGACTCAGAGAGAAGGGTCTAAACAAAGAAGGAGTGGTCAATTATGAAAGAGGACCACTTTTCAAAGTCAGCTTTTTCCTCTTCTCCCAATGTCTCAATCTATTCCTCTTGCCTACTCCTTCCTTCCTTCCTTCCTCCCTTCTCTCCCTCTCTTTCTTCCTTCCTTCCTTCTTCCCTTCCTTCTTCCTCCCTCCCTCCCTCCCATTATTCCTTCCTTCCTTCCTTCCTTCCTTCCTTCCTTCCTTCCTTCCTTCCTTCCTTCCTTCTTTTCTTTCTTTCTTTCTTTCTTTCTTTCTTTCTTTCTTTCTTTCTTTCTTTCTTTCTTTCTTTCTTTCTTTCTTTCTTTCTTTCTTTTCTTTCTTTCTTCCTCCCTCCCTTCTTCCATCTCTCCCTTTCTCCCTCCCTTTCTTCCTTTCTTTTTTCTTCTTTATTTCCTTTTTTCCTTCCTTCCTTCCCTTTTCCTTCCTCCCTCCCTTCCTCCTTCTTTTCCTCCCTCCCTTCTTCCCTCCCTTCATTTCTCCCTTCCTTCCTTTCTCCTTCCCTTCTTTCTTTCTTCCTTCCTTCCTCCTTCCCATTCTTTCTTTTCTTTCTTTCTTCCTCCCCCCCTTCTCCCTTCCTTCCTTCCTTCCTTCCTTCCTTCCTTCCTTCCTTCCTTCCTTTCTTCCTTCCTTCTCTCCTGTTTTCCTTACCTCCTGTCTCCTGTGTCTATGTATTAGGTCTGTCAAGGATATATGTCTTGCCCCCTAACTTGTGATGACCCTCACACCTACAGAGACTGTTAGCACTGGTCTAGGTTGAAATACAGATAGAGATTCTTCTGGAGGTTCTTCAGGCTTCTTTATATTTCCTTATCACTCCTGTTTCCTGTCTTTGGTTTAAATCATAAAGTGTTATGTTCCCAGTTCTCTTAAATATTTATTAGGGGAGATAAAGTTGATTCAATTCTACAACTATTTACTAAGAGATGTTAAAGGCACTAAAAGCATAGGATCATAGGAGGCAGCCTTAGAAGTAATTAAGGCCAACTTCCTCATTTTACAGATGAGGTTAAATGACTTGTGCAAGATCAATACTTTCCTATGTCTGGGAGGTGAGCTTGGGCTCTTAATCTTATTTCATTGGTATGTTCTAATTTTATATCACCTTCAATTCTAAATATATCCTTGCCCCCTCCTTTCCCCATTAGGAAAGAGGGGAAAAAACAGTTCGCCCAAAGCAATTAATGTATCAGTTATTTTGGAGAGTAAAGCAATATGCCACACCTAGAGTGCCCCACCTCTGAAAAAAGGAAAGGGAGGTACATTTTTTCAATTCTTATCCAGTGCCAAGTTTGGTGACCTTGAATTTTTAAAGGCTATGCTAATAGAATGTGAACCCTAGCAGGCTCTACCCAGTTTCAATTCTATTCTGCAGGTAGTTCTTGAGTTCCTACTTGTTCAACATGGTGCTGGGCTCTGTAGGGACTCAGGGAAGTTTAAGACTTGGTCTCTATCCTTAGGGACATTACAATCTCTATACATGAAAAGAACATTGAAAAACAACAAAATGAATCTGAGAGATGCTGACTTTGAATGTTGTAAAAGGGGATAGGAGAAGGAGGATATCAGTGTGGCCAGAACTAGACAGGAGATGCTGCAAGCAATGGGTAAACCTAACTCCTTCAGCCACCAAAGACTCAAGGAAGGAATCAAGCAGGACCTGAACCCAGCAAATAGTGTGGTATCCACCTGGTCCATGTCCCATTCTAAGCTCATATGGCACAATGGCTAAGTAGAACCTTGTAACAGCAAAAGAGAAAGTTTCTCCCCAAGGAATGAATTCCTGTCATTTAGGAGGAAATGGGTCTGACCCAGAGCATTAGTGGAGGAAAGCAGAAGTGTCTAAAAACACAAAAGAGTCAGCATATGCCTTCTGAATATAGAAACTGGGAGATTATGAGAAGTCAAACTCGGTGACAGCAAGGGAGTATTAATGATAATTAGGGCACAAGGAAAACAATTCAAGAAATATCTATTATACGCCTACATTGTGCTAGGTGCTACTATCAGACATAGAAGGGTGGAGTTCTTGCTCAAGAACCTTACACTCTGTGGGGGCGGGGGAAACTCATACACAGGTAAGTAAATATAAAGTGTGTAAAAAGTAATCCAAAGTAATTGTTGGGGGAAGGAGAGAATTCTAATACCTGTGGAGGGTCAACAAAGGCCTTTCCTGACATGAGCCTTGAAGGAAGGGAAGAGAAAATGGGAAGCATAAAGTTTTATGATGCATTTATTATGTTCCAGGCACCGGGCTAAGTGCTTTACAAATATTGCCTAATTTGCTCCTTACAACAACCCTAGGGGATAGGTGTTGTTATTATCCCTATTTTGCAGGTGAGGAAACTGAGGTAGTTAAATGACTTGGCCAGGATTACACAGCTAGGAAGTGTCAGAGTCTGGCTTTGAACTCACATCCGGTGCTCTATTCACTGCATCACCTAGCTACCAAGAGGTGGAGTTGATTGAGGTGGGAGAATATTATAGACGTGAAGGACATGGTGTCAGGTGATGGGATATCACAGGAAATGTCAGGCAGGCCGGTTTGGCTGTAATAAAGAGTGCATGAGGGAAAAGAATGTGAAATAAATCTGGAAAGATGTTATTGTTTCTTGTTTAGTTGTCTCCGACTTTCCGTGTCCCCAGTTGGGGTTTTCTTGGCAAGGATAACTACGGTGATTTGGCATTTCCTTCTTGGCTCGTTTTACAAATGAGGAAACTGAGGCAAACAGGGTTAAGTGACTTGCCAAGGGTCACAGAGCTAAGAAGTGACTGAGGCTGGATTTGAACTCAGGAAGGCGGGTCTTCCTGACTCCAGGCCTGGTTGGAAGGACAGACTGGATCAAAGTTATGAAAGGATTTAAATACCGAGAAGAGATAATTGCATTTTTTCCTAGAGGCAATAGGAAACCACTAACTTCCTTGAGCAGAGCAATGCCTTACTGAGATCTGTGCTTTAGGAAAATCGGTTTGGCAGCCATGTGAAGGAAGGATTGGAAAGGGTAGGGAAGAAAGGAACACAATGAGGATGCCGCTACAATAGTACAGGTGATTGAATGAGATAACATTTGTAAAGCACTTGGCACATGCTGGGCACATAGTAGGTGCTTAGTAAATGCTTGCTCCCCTCCTCCTTACAGGTGAGAGGTGATGAAAGTGATGGTTATGTGACTGAAGAGAAGGGAACAGATGGTTCTGGGGAGAGGATTATCTTTCAGAGAGGGCAGTTCCAGACAGTTTTCTATTCATATCAGTTAAGCAATCAGCCAGTCTGTTTTTCAGCCAACAAGCATTTATTAAACACTTATTGTATGCTAGGCTGTGCTAAGCACTGGAGGTGGAAAGACAAAAACCCTGTTCCTACCCTTAAAGAGCTTGCATTCAGATGGAAGAGGCAACATGTAAATAATTGGTTACAAACAAGGCATGTACATGTGTATACACACACACACACACACACACAGAGGAGAGAGAGAGAGAGAGACAAAGTGACAGAGTCTAGAGAATAATATCTCAGAAGGAAGACACACACTAGCATCTGAGGGTCAGTGGAGCCTTGAATTGAGTCTCGAAGAAAGCCGAGGAAACTGAGGCAGAAGTGAAGAGGGAGATTATTTTAGGCAAAAGGGAGCAATTAAGGCAAAGGCATAAATAAAGAAAAGAGAACGGAAAGGAACTTTTAAGATTATTCTAGTGTCATGGACTCCTCAGGCAGTCTGGTGAAGCATATGGAGCCCTTCTTGGAATGGTGTATACAGTACATAAAATAAAAGAGGATTACAAAAGAAATCAATTTTATTGAAATAGTTATAAAATACAAGTATTTAAAAATAAGTTCACCTGATCTATCCAACCCCATTATTTTATAGATGAGGAAACTGAGGACTAGAGAGGTAAAAAGACCACCCCAAATTCACTCATTTGCCTCTTCTCGGGTCATATGTGCAGGTCACATTCCTTTGCAATGGTTTTTGCAGGGCACCTATCTCAGAGCAGGATGGAAAATGATTCCCCTCTTCATCTTATGTCTGCTTCAAGGTAAGTAAAGGAGAGATTCTGGGGATGACTCTTAGAATCATAAAATATTTAGATTGTCAGGTAAGCAAGACCTGTGATTCCATGCCACCCTTCCTGTACCCAAAGCCAACTTGCAAAGTTCAAGAGGTTTCTGATGGGCATCACGATTGCCGTCAACTCTTAGCATAGCCATACCCTTTTCTCTACCATGTAGCCAGGTGGCTCCTAGCTAGATGCCATTAGAAGTAAACCAAAGAAGGTAATAGATCCAGGCTTGGAGAGGGTGGGCATTTCCCTCCCCTATTGGGTGTTTTCAGTCATTGTTGTCAAAAGGCAAATACATCATAAACAATTTCTATATGATCCATTTTGGAAGAGTCTCTAAGCCCTTTCTCTTTTTCTGGTTAAAACAGACCCTCAGAAATTTGTTTGCTTGACTATGCACATTTATTACAAGACTTTCATTTTCTTTTCTTTTTTCCCCAGTGGGGGTGGGGGGAGGAAGAGAAATGACTTATATTAATTTCATTTTAAAACATTTTTTGAAAAAATAGACTTCATCTACTCCCCCACCCTTATCACTTCCTGCAGATACTAATGCTTTGAAAGGTCCGAGACTGGTAGCTGGAGACCTTGGGGGAACGGTCACCATCAAGTGCCATTATGCTCCCACGACTGTCAACAAACATGAGAGGAAATATTGGTGCCGCCTGTATTGGCCTCAGAGGATTTGCCATACCGTCATCTCTACCAACTTCTTTATCAGCCAGAGCTATCAGGGCCGAGTGACTCTTACAGATTTCCCCAACCGCGGCATGTTTGTAGTTACCTTGACCCAATTGGCATCTGAAGATGCAGGCCACTATCGCTGTGGCATTGGACGTAGCACAGATATGCTCTTCTTCAGTATGAATCTAACCGTCTCTACAGGTACAGGCTTATGTTGTACCACAATGCTGTATAGTGAAAACAGGCAGAGTACAGTGGGGAAAGTACTGGGTCTAGAAACAGCATTTAGATTCAATTGATGACCTCCCCGCTTACTACCTCTGTGATTGTGAGCAAGGCATTTCATTTCTGTGGGCCCTACTTTCCTCATTCGCCAAATGAGGAAATTGGACTATATAATCTTTATGGTCCCTTCCAGCTCTGATTCTGATATGGAGGGCAATAAGTTCCATAACAATAACATCATAAATGTGACAGATATTCTTCTTAAAATGTGGTCTGTAGCTTAAAATAGGAGAGTGGACCAAAAGAGATTTTATAACTTAGGAAATCCTGAAACTTTCAGAATATCCTCTCCTCACGACCATGCCTTAAACCCAAATCACTCTGGAGCTCATTGATTGGCCAACAATAGGTCCCAGACCAATCCCCATTTGATGGTCATTGTTTGGGACCTGATGGCTCAGAGTGAGACAAGAACCATGACATTATATGGTGTGTACCTGCATTAAGCTCATCAATCAGATGGAAATGAGGGAAGGCTTAAGGAGTAGAGAAGAGGGGACTGAGGAGGCGTCCTTAAGACCTCCAATGAGCATGAAGCAGTGGCATCTGGGGGATAGTGAGCACCTGAAGTGCACGTATGTTGCAGCAGAAAAGATCTAAATGGTATGTTAGGGGAGGCTTCTGAGAATTCCACACCAGGAAAAAAGTAGTCCCTCCAGTAGAATTTGTAGGCTTCCTTTGACCAGACAATGGGAGCTCTGTAACCCAATATGTTTCCCTTTTTGCTCTTGTCTGGTGAGGAAGCTCAGAGATAAATGTAATGCCCACCTTCAGTAACTAACTCATCCCAGGTACCTGGCATATCTATTATTCTGTGTTTTTTAAAAAATGTAATTATATATTTTCTCTAAAACACACACACATACATATATACGTATATGTATACACACACACACGCGCGCACGCACGCGCACACACACACATGTGTGCGCGCACATACACACACACACACATGCACACACACACATACATACTGTGCCTAAGGTGGGATGAGAAAGCAGGTCTTCCTGACTCCAAATCCAGTGCTTTCTCTACTTTATGCTGCTTCCTTTCAGACTGACATCATGGAATCTGAGAGTTGGGTGCAGTAATCTAATCCATCCCCTGCACCAAAGGCAGCCAGAGTACTGGGTCACCATGACCCTGTAAATAAGCATCCTAGTCCTCATTTCACAGATCAGGAAACCAAGGCAGAGTGAATGGCCCGTAGTCACATACCAGGAAATGTCAGAACTTGGACTGAAACCCAAATGTTTGGACTCCAAGCCCAGTTCTCTTTCCTCTGTACCAGAGTTTCTTCATAAGTCTATCAGTTATTCCTTCCTTGAATTGTAGCTTTATTTCATCAAGAGCTTTCCTTACAACTAATTGTTGCTGAACTAAGGGAATGGGAATTTTGAAGGAGTGACTGGGGGAGGAGAAGGGGATAAATGTAAGGAATATGGCATTTCTGGAACAAGAAGGCCTGAAGAGGATTCTAGGCTGCAGGCTCTGTGAAGCCAGAGGATGGCATATGGGTAGTGGATGATTGGGGATAGAGGGAATACTAGAAAATGGGATCAGGGAATAGAAAGAGGAGATGGCTGCCCACTTCTCACCTTTGCCCTGCTCTCTGCTGAACTAGAGATTATTGATGTTTTCTTAAATTTGTATTTTAGCTAACATGCCCATTGGTGTAACACTTAGCTTGACTGATCAGTTTAACTGCTTCCAGCCAACTTAATGTAGCCTCTTTACATGTGCAAATACGCTGTCATTAATTAACCTGTGTTCTTTCCCAACTGCTCAAGCCAATCATTCTTCAGATTCTGCCATCCTCACAATTCCCTCAAGCGTCAACCCCATGACAGCTCAGGTTACCAGAGGCCAGACCATTGACACAACCCTGCTTGCAGAGGGGTGGGAGACAAGAACCAGCAGAAGAGATACCACTCCAGCTGAGGTCACCCAGACCCCAGAAACCATTGAAGCAGCAACTACAGTTACAGGTGGACAAGACCTTGACACAACCCTACTTGTGGAAGGGTGGAAGACAAGAACCAGCACAAGAGATACCACTCCAGCTGAAGTCACCCAAGCACCAGGAACCATTAAAACAACAACTATAGTTACAAGTGGACAAGACCTTGACACAACCCTGCTTGTAGAGGGGTGGGAGACAAGAACCGGCAGAAGAGATATCACTCCAGGTGAAATGCACCCAGGAAGCACTGGAGCAACAGCCCCAGATATAGATGGGTGGGTTCCCAAAACTATTGAAACAACAACTTCAGCTCCAGGTTGTCAGGTCTTTGATGCAACCTTGGTTATAAAAGGACAGGGGGCAGGAACTTGCAGCGGACACATCACTCCAACCAGAGTCACCAAGGCCTCAGGAACCCTTGCAACAATAACCTCAGTTGCAGGTAGACAGGGTCCAGGAACTCTTGGAATAACAACTCCAGCTGCAGGCAGACAGGACCTTGACACAAGTCTGGTGGCAAAAGGACAGGAGGCAGGAATTAGCAGAGGAGATATAACTCTGATTAGAGTCACTCAGCTACCAGCACAAGCTTCAAGCAAAAATCTACAGCCTCCAGGAATAGTTAGATTAACAATTCCAGGTACTGGCAACTGGGGTCTGAAAACCACAAGAGCAGCAAATTTAGTTCCAGAGGGACAGACTTCAGGAGCCAAAGTAACATCAACCATAATGGAAGGTGGTTTGGTCTTGGGGACTAGGGCAGTGACAAAGACAATTGTAGGAACCATTAGAGAAAGGAAATTAACCATCAGAAGCACAAATAGGCTAACTGAGGGAACTGTGAACATTGGAATACCTCAGATTATCACCAGAAACAGCCCAGGAACCATGAGACCTTCAACAATGATCAGAGACAGTCTCAGAGAAGTAACGCCAGGCACAGACCAACAGATTCAGGAGATCACCAGAGCTACAGCCCCAGATGTGGATGTAGGTGCTTGGTTCTCAGGAACCATTAGAAAAGGGGAAGCTTCAGCCTTAGAAGGAACAGCTGCTATTGGTAGAGAAAGTCACTCTGAGGAACCACTGAGAAGAATCCCAGGAACAGCACTTGTGATTCCCCCCAGCAAGAAGCCGTTCATGGAGAAGTAAGAGTACATGTCCCTCCTCTAGAGGTACCACTCTTGCCACTCTGGCCCTTTAGCTCCATTCTCTGGGTCCTTCTTCATCTTTGCTCACTCATCCTAAAATTGGACTTAGAATTGATGAGGACTACAGTGGATTTGTTATCCTTCCTTCTTCTCTTTCCTCAGTCCACTTACTTAGAGATAAGGACAATAGATACGACAATGTTTCACCTCAATCTGTTGTTTCCTTTCCTTACCCCTTCAGATGTCTCACTTCAGAGGTTGTTATCTATGCTGGAAACTTCCTTCTCTCTCTCTCTCTCTCTCTCTCTCTCTCTCTCTCTCTCTCTCTCTCTCTCTCTCTCCTCCCTCCTCTCTCTCTCTCTCTCTCTCCCTCCCTCCCTCCTCTCTCTCTCTCTCTCTCTCTCTCTCTCTCTCTCTCTCTCTCTCTCTCTCTCCTTTTTTCTTTCTTTCCCTCTCTTATTTCCTCCTTTTTTCCTTCCTTCCTTTCCTTCTTTCTTCCCTCCCTTCCGCTCTCATAGTTTAATTACACAGTTTGAATCATAAAATGAAAGAGCCAAATGGGATGAGTGAAAATATTTAATCCAAAGCCCTCATTTTTGGAAGTTTAGACAGAAACTGAGAGGTATAGTGTATTGGCCAAGGTCACACGGCTAATAATTTTATGCCTGAGAAAGGAGTAGAACAGATCTTCAGTTCCTCATCCAGTACAATTTTGGATAGATAGCACAACCTTTCTCACAGGCTGTGGCTGGGCCACCTTGAGCATATAGACACCCTCATGCAGCATGGTGAGGGAGAAAGAGCCTTAGGCTGACTTTCAAAAGGCCCCAGTTATTCTAGTCCTGGCTCCATGACTAGCAAACCATGTGTCGTTGAATACCTGTCAATGCCTTAGTTTTTTCCTCTGTAAAATGAGGGTGCTGGATTAGATGGTCCACAAGGTCTTTTCCAATTCTAAGTTTTAGGATGTTCTGACTATAAGCAAAGTCCTTCCTGGGTCCTACCCATTTCCTACCCTTCCTCAAAGCCCTCCCTCCTCCTTTCTTCCCCAGCTCATCTCCAGATCAGAGGCGTGTCTCCCAGATCCTGATCACTCTCTCTACTGTGTTGCTCCCACTTGTCCTCCTGGTTCTGTTGGTACTTCTAAGGAAGCTTCGAAAGAGGATCTGTAAGTCATTGGGGTTCTGGACATGGGAAATGGCAATTTTTACATCCTTTTTGATGCTATAAGGGATGCAGTTATGTCTGATGGTTAGGGTAGTAGACGGGGCATGAGGTAGGGTAGGAGATCAGAGATCTAGATGCAGCACTCCCCTTATGCTTTCTGTATGCCTCTAGACAAGTCTACCTATCTAGGCCTCAGTTTGTCTATCTATACAATGAGCACAATCATCCTTTCCCAATCACTGCTTCCTAGGACCAACAACGCTAAAGATGAATTTCTTTGGAAGATCATAGGAATCTTAAGATTTAGAATTTGAAGGAAATTTAGAAATCATCTACTCTAAGTCCCTGATTTTACAGGTGAGGAAACTAAAAACAAGAGGGAAATTTCCTTTCCAAGGTTATACAGCTAGGAAGTCACAGAGCTGAGATTGATACCTCTGCCTGCCAACTCTATTGGCAAGTTTGTGCTCACAAAATTTGAGATGTCTTGAAGGCCCTTCCCCCTCTTCTTTGCAGAGATATTGGGGGTGGGGGAGTCTATGGATATGAAATGTTGTCAGACTTTTTCAGCATAATGATAGGTTTTGTGAAATTTTTTTCTCTTACTTTTAAAACATTATTTGTTATAAGGGATGGCTCCTCTGGGAGAAGGATATGGGGGGTAATTTAAGCTATGTAAAAACAAAATCTATCGAATAACATTTTTTAAAATGGTGTCCTAAAGGAACTGCTAACTAGAAGCTTGCATGCCCTCCAAGTCGCCCCACTCCACCCCCTTGTATATGGAGATAGAGAAAGAGGGACAGAAAGAGAAGTCTCGCCAAGTGATGAATCAGCCAAAGACCATGCATTCTGTGTGCTTGAGCTGAAATTATTTTAAATCAGGTCTCTGCCAGTCCAGGGTCCAGAGCTAAGTGTTAGTAAGCAGAGTTATATAGTGACTGGGCTGGGGCTGAGGCTGGTGGGAGGGGCCTAGAGCCTAGAGTGGGGGAGGGGGGTTTCCTGAGTCCACGGGCTATAGATTCCATAGTCCTAGTCCTCCGCTGAACATTCCTTGCTCTTGGGGCCCAGACTGTTGCTTGGTGGCAGGATGCTTTGAGAACGAAGTATATCTTCAGGGGAAGAGCTATAAGGAAGAAGAACTTTCCAGGCCCAATAACCCTCACAAGTTTTTCTATGCTTATGCAGCTGTTCGGACACAGAAGCCCACGTTTTCCCTAATCCAGCTCACTAACTTTCAAGATCTCCCTGAGAAGCGGAGCTTGGAAGCACTACAGCTCCAGGAAGCCTAATTCCTCCAGTCATCCCCACGGAAGGCAATCGGGGGATCAACCCTCCTATCTGGGGCAGTCTGTGCCTCTCAGAGGGAGACCTGAGGCCCTCGATGTCTCCCTGGAACACTAGGACCAGGAGCTCCTGGACATAAATTGCACATCACCTCTTCCCTATAGTTGAAAGAGGAGGCCAAAGGAGCTCGGGGTTCAGCCTTGAGAAGAAAAAGGTGAGGCTGTGAGGACTTAATTATTTTTAAATCTAGGAGGGTGTTAAAATGAAGGATGCTTATTAATTGTTCACCACCAAAGAAAAGATGAAGAGATTTTAAATTTCAGTGAGACTCCAGAAAGGACTTTTGGATTAAGAGAAGAAATACTGATCCCTGGAAGAGACTACCAGGGAAGGCCATGAAATCTCCATCCCCAAAGAGTTAATGATTGTCATCTCTCCTTACTCCAAATCCACCCCCCCCATTACTTTGTAATTCTCATATGGTATTTTTTACGTTCAAATTTGTACTGTAGTTATTTGTGTATGAACTAAGCCTATCATTCCTAAAAGACAGACTGTAAATTCCCCAAGGATGTCTTCTTCATCTTTGTATCTCCCATGGTGCCCAAGCATATAGTAAACTTTACTCAATAAATATATTTGTTGAATTGAATTGAATTGTCTAGATTGATCTGTTATGGGGTGAGATTATCTCTGAGTATTCCAATCTCCACTTATTTCCCCTTTTTCTCAACTTCTTCAACAGTCTCCAAATTTATATCACTAAAAATTTTTGAGCCTACTGCCCCCGTGTAAGTATAATTATTTATTTATAAATTATATATGCATACTTCTATACTAATAATTATGTGCCTTCTAAAATTTACCAAAAATTAAAAATGTTTAAAGGATTCATTCATAAAGATGATACAATATTTTGTCCTAGAGTCATTAGCAAGTCACTAGAGTTTATTGAGGGGTTTGTGTAACGTGGTCAGACCTACAGTTTAGGAAAATCACTTTGGGATATGTGTCTCATCTGGCATGAGAATGGGAGAAACTTGGGGGGGGAACAAATAAGAGATTATTGCAATAGTCCTGGTTGAGAGATGATGACAGTCTGAAATAAGGTGATAATAAAGTGAGTTGAGAAAGGAAAAAGATGGGACAGATATAGAGGTAAGGACAATAAGTTTCGGCAACTGGTTACGTATGTAGGATGACAAAAAATAATAATGAGAGCAAGATGGTGGTTAGAAAGATGGTGGTGCCCTTCACAGCAATGGGCAAGTTTGGAAGAGGGGTGGCTTTGGAGGAAAGGAAATGAATAAGATTTGGGATCTTTTGTGATCTGTGCTTGCTCATCCTGTGGGACTCACTTGTGGTTTTTGTTTGTTTGCTTGTTTATTTTTTCTAGTTTATTTTTTTGTAAATAATATTTTATTTTTTCCAATTACATGTAAAAATAGTTTTCAACATTCATTTTTATAAGATTTTGAGTTCTAAATTTCTCTTTCTCCCTCCCTCCCTCTTCGAGATGGAAGCAATCTAATATAGGTTATACATATGCAATCATGGAAATGTTTCCACATTAGTCATGTTCTGAAAGAAGAAACAGAACAAACAAAAATAAACCCCCAAAGTGAAAATAATGTACTTTGATCTGCATTCAGACTCCATAGTTCTTTTTCTGGATGTGGATATCGTTTTCAATCATGAATCTTTTGAAATTGCCTCGGATCATTGTATTGTTGAGAAGAGTCACATCAATCATATTGATCATTGAAGTGTTACTGTTACTATGTACAATGTTCTCCTGGTTCTGCTCAATTCACTCAGAATCAGTTTATGGAGGTCTGAAATCCACCTTCTTATCATTTCTTGTAACAAATAGTATTCCATTCCATTCATATACCACTACTTATTCAGTAATTCCCCAACTGATGAGCATTCCTTCAATTTCCCATTCTCTGCCATCACAAAAAGAGCTCCCATAAATATTTTTATTCATATAGGTTCTTTCCCTTTTTTAATCATCTCTTTGGGGTACAGACCTAGTAGTGGTATTGCTACATCAGAGGTTATGCACAGTTTGATTGCCCTTTGGGCATAGTTCCAAATTGTTCTCCAGAATGGTTGGATCAGTTCACAACTCTACCAACAATGCATTAATGTCCCAATTTTCCCACATCTTCTCCAACATTTATCATTTTTCTTTTCTATTATATTAGCCACTCTGATAGGTGTGAGATAGTACCTCAGAGTTGTTTTGATTTTCATTTCTCTAATCAGCGGTGATGTCGAGCATTTTTCTTTTTCTTTTTCTTTTTTGTTGTAAATTAGAATAATTTATTTATTTTAGCTTTCAGCATTCACTTCCATAGGATTTTGAGTTTTAAAATTTTCTCCTCACTCCTCTCCTCCCACTTCCCCAAAATGGTGTGCAATCTGATATAGGCTGTACTTGTGCATTCATATTAAGCACATTTTCACATTAGTCATGATGTATAGAGGAATTAGAATTAATGGGAGGAATCACAAGAAAGAAGAAATAAAACAAAACAACAAAAGAAAAGGAGAGTAAATAGTATGTTTCCATTTGCATTCAGACTCCATAGTTCTTTCTCTGGATGTGGATAACAATTTCCATCATGAGTCTTTTGGAGTTGTCTTAGATTCTTGCATTGCTGTGAAGAGCCAAATCTATCAAAGTTAGTCATCACACGTTGTGGCTGTTACTGTGTACATTGTTCTCCTGGTTCTGCTCATTTCACTCAACAACAGTTCATATAAGTCTTTCCAGGTTTTTCTGAAGTCTGCCTGATCATCATTTCTTATAGCACAATAATATTCCATTACATTCATATACTACAACTTGTTCAGCCATTCCCTAATTGATGGGCATCCCCTCAATTTCCAGTTCTTTGCCACCACAAAAAAGCTGCTACGAATATTTTTGTACGTGTGGGTCCTTTACCCATTTTTATTATCCCTTTGGGATACAGACCCTGAAGTAGTATTGCTGGGTCAAAGGGTGTGCATAATTTTATAGTTCTTTGGGTATAGTTCCAAATTGCTCTCTGGAATGGCTGGATCAGTTCATAACTCCACCAATAATGCATTAGTGTTCCAATTTTCCCACGTCTTCTCCAACATTTATTATTTTCCTGTTTTGTCATGTTAGCCAATCTGATAGGTATGATGTGGTACCTCAGATTCATTTTGATTTGCATTTCTCTAATCAATAATGATTTAGAACATTTTTTCTTATGGCTATAGATAGCTTTAATTTCTTCCTCTGAAAACTGCCTATTCATATCATTTGACCATTTATCAATTGGGGAATGACTTGTATTCTTATAAATTCGACTCTGTTCTTTATTTATTTTAGAAATGAGGCCTTTATCAGAGACACTGGTTGTAAAAATTGTTTCCCAGCTTTCTGCTTCCCTTCTAATCTTGGTTGCATTGGCTTTGTTTGTGCAAAAACTTTTTAATTTAATGTAATCAAAATCATCCATTTTGCATTTCATAATGTTCTCTTTCTCTTGTTTGGTCATAAATTCTTCCCTTCTCCATAGATCTGATAGGTAAATGATTCCTTGCTCTCCTAGTTTGCTTATAGTATCAGTCTTTATATATAAGTTATGTACCCTTTTCGACCTTATGTTGGCATAGGGTATGAAATGCTGGTCTATGCCTAGTTTCTGTCATACTACTTTCAATTTTCCCAGCAGTTTTTGTCAAAAAATGTTTCTATAATTTGTTGTTTGACCCACTCATTCTTTTGGATTGGATTATTTAGTTTCTAATTAAATTTTAATCTATCTTTTCATGGCCCTTTATTACATGTAATTTTTATCGCATCATGATCTGAAAAGGATGCATTTAATATTTCTGCCTTTCTAACATTTGATTGTGAGGTTTTTATGCCCTTATGCATAGCCATGTTTTCTGTAGGTGCTATGTACCCATTCAATTTTCTCTAGAGGTCTATCATATCTAACTTCTCTAAAATTCTGTTCACCTCCTTAACTTCTTCCTTGTTTATTTTGTGGTTAGATCTATCTAGTTCTAAGATGTTGAAACTGAGGTTCCCCACTAGTTAGTTTTGCTGTCTGTTTCTTCCTGTAACTCACTTAACTTCTCTAAGAATTTGGATGCTATTCCACTTGGTGCATATATGTTTACTGTTGATAGTACTTCATTCTCTATGGTACCTTTTAGCAAAATGTCATTTTCTTCCTTGTCACTTTTAATTAGATCTAGTTTTGCTTTTGCTTTGTCTGAGATTAGGATCACTACCCTGCTTTATTTTTTTTTTAACTTCAGCTAAAGTATAATATATTCTGTTCCATCCTTTTACTTTATTTTGTACATGTCTCTCTGCTTCAAATATGTTTCTCATAAACACCATATTGTGGGATTTTGGTTTTTAATCCACTCTGCTACCCACTTCTGTTTTATGGGAGAGTTTATCACATTTACATTCACAGTTATGATTACTGTGTATTTTCTTCCATCCTATTTTTCCCCTCTTCATACTTTTCTGTCTCTCTCTCTCTCCTTTCACCCTGTTCCTCCTCACCAGTGTTTTGCTTTTGACCACTGCCTGCCTCAATCTGCCATCCCTTCTATCATCTCCCCTCTCTTCCCCTTCCCTATAGGGTAAGATAGCTTTCTTTACCCAAGTGCATATGTATGCTATCCTCTCTTTGAGTCAAATTTGATGAGAGTAAGGTTCAAACAATGTTCACCCCCTCCCTTTTTCTCCCTACTATAATGTCTTTCATGCCTCTTCATGTGATATAATTTACCCATTCTGCCTTCCCCTTTTCTCTTCTACCAGTACAATCTTCTTTTTTACTCTTTAACTTTTTTAATCATCACATCAAAATCAACTTGTACTTACTCCCTCTGTCTAAGTATACTCCTTCTAACTGTCCTAATAGAGATACAGTTCTTAAGAGTTACAAGTATCATCTTCCCACTTAGGGATGTAAACAATTTAACCTTATTGAATACCATGTTGTTGTTTTTTCTTTCCTGCTTACCTTTTTATGCTTCTCTTGCATCTGGTATTTGAAGATCAAATTTTCTGTTCATCTCTGGTTTTTTCTTCAGGAAAATTTGAAAGTCCACTATTTCACTGAATTTCCATCCTTTCTCCTGGAAGATTATGCTAAATTTTGCTGTGTAGTTGATTCTTGGTTGTAAACCAAGCTCCTTTTCCTTCTGGAATATCATGTTCCAAGCCTTCTGATCCTTTAATGTAGAATCTGCTAAGTTCTGTGTAATCCTGACTGTGCCTCCTTGGTATATGAATTGTTTCTTTCTGGCTGCTTATAGTATTTTCTCCTTGACCTGACAGTTCTGGAATTTCATTATAACATTCCTTGGAGTTTTCATTTTGGGATCTTTTTTTCTTCCCTTTAAAAAATTAATATATTTTAAGCTTAAATACTAAAACTTAAATACACAATAAGAAAAGAAAAAGAAACATTATAACTTAAATACAAAAGTAAAATGAAAAAAAGTACTGCCCTATGCACAGCAGAACATAAGAGAAGATTCAAAATATATAGCAATAAATTTCCATTTCAAGAAAGCCTATATAATAAATACTACACATTGTGTTCCAAGCTGTCCATCTTTTCTTTG